AGAATTTCCCGGAAGTATTGAACTCCGGTGTGCTTTAGGGGATTCCTATGAACATCAGAGCCTAAACGTGATACCGCTTAGTTTTGAGCTGGGAGGTAACATGATATCAGCTAGCATGTTCAAGGAGCAGAATGCAATGTATTACTTCAAAGGCTGTTCGGGATCAGCCAGGAGGGCCTGGCCATCGGCGGGCCCGCGCCTGGCAAGGCGACCGCCACCAGCAACTTCATGACGCAGTTTCAGAAGAAGGTCTTGGACAAGATCCTGCGACCGTCGACTATCACTGCAGACCACGGTGCTGTGGCAGCCGCAGTGGGAGCTGAGGCAGTGGATACTGCGGCTAACGACGGTGATGGTGCAGCAGCGAGAGCAGCCGCTGGGGACCACGAACAGGCGGTGGGTGGCGGAGAGGCTGCTGCCATGGGCATGCATGCCGTGGATGGTGGCACGGGTGGCGGCCGCACAGCAGGCGTCGCAGCAGCAGCAACCGCAGGGGGGGACACCGGCACGGGTCCCAGGCAGGGCGAGGCGGGCGTTGCCCAGGTAGAAAACCTAGCAGTTTGGAACCTGGGGAGCATGTTTAACAAGGTCGAGGGGTGCTGATGGGTTATGTCAACTTTCAATGTCAGGGCAGCTTGTTGGGTCTTACCCTGATATTTTACCTTGAACTTAAGCACTGGGTGTTGCTGCCCTCCCCACCACAGGACGAGGATACCACCAACTACGATGCGTTCAAGGAGTGGGTCGGCGAGGTGCCAAGAGCAGCTAAGGGCGCAGCTGGCAAGCGCAGGCGGGGTGGCGGTGATAACGACGACCTGGGTGCGAGGTCGGGGCGCAAGGTTGGAAATAAACGGCAGAAGGGGAACAAGGGCGCAGGCTGGGGCAGGGGTGCAAGCAAGGGGACCACCAGAGGTGCGGGGAAGGGCGGCGCAGGCAAGGGAGGGTGGAGGGGGCGGACAGAGGAGGGTAGCTCGGAGGGTGGGTCGGATGCTGGTGAGGAAGAGGTCCTAGCCGCTGGCGCTGGGGAGGAGTCCAGCTCGGAGGACCCGGGCAAATATAGCGAAGCTAGCAGCAGCAGCAGTGGCAGTGGCAGCAGCGACAGTGGTGGAAGTGAGCAGTAACATGACAGCAGTGATGAGCGCTTGGGGGTGCACACACCAGGTCGGCCCCAGGCAGGATGGGACATACCAATCCCAATAGGTGCCGGTACATGTCATGCATCGGGGGTTTCATCCGTAGGAGTAGGCACGAACTCTGCAAGTGGTGGTGAGACTCCTTGGCGAGCACTTGCTGTATGGGGGGTGACATGAACGCTGTTTTCGAGGACGATGGTTGAGATGAATGCATCAGGCTGTCAGGCTGGCTGGTTGGTGTTGTGAGTCCAAAGCGCCTTGGTCCACAAGCACACTGAGACTTAGGCTACTTTGACAAGGGGTGTGCGTCCATTTTGAGGCTTGCCGCAAGTATTCACCAATCGTTAATTTAACATGCAGTAAGCATCACATCACAGAGTAATATGTGCCTGTGTAACCCGTAATGACTGGGTCTTCACCCGTAATTTTGCGTGTAATTGGTTACATGCGCCCGTAATTCACCTCCAGCACCGCGTAAAATCCACCCGTAATCACTGGGTCTTCACCCGTAATTTTCCGTGTAATTGGTTACATGTGCCCGTATTTCACCTCCAGCACCGCGTAAAATCCACCCGTAATCACTGGGTCTTCACCCGTAATTCTGCGTGTAATTGGTTACATGCGCCCGTAATTCACCTTCAGCACCGCGTAAAATCCACCCGTAATCACTGGGTCTTCACCCGTAATTTCGCGTGTAATTGGTTACATGTGCCCGTATTTCACCTCCAGCACCGCGTAAAATCCACCCGTAATCACTGGGTCTTCACCCGTAATTTTGCGTGTAATTGGTTACATGCGCCCGTAATTCACCTCCAGCACCGCGTAAAATCCACCCGTAATCACTGGGTCTTCACCCGTAATTCTGCGTGTAATTGGTTACATGCGCCCGTAATTCACCTTCAGCACCGCGTAAAATCCACCCGTAATCACTGGGTCTTCACCCGTAAATGTTCACCTGTATCCTTGTGCTCAAATTACGAGACCCGTAACGTGTTACGGACCCGTAATATCTGTCAAATTACGGGTGGATTGACCCAAAATTACGGGTAAAATGACCCCCGTTTTCCCAGAGTGAGGCAAGCACTAGTCTGCATAGACACGTATACAAAAACAATCTATATGGCGGCAGCGGAGACTTGAACTCCGAACACCTAGTATTCGTGATACTTCAGTGTCTGGCCAGTGCACCCCGCCCGGGTAGCTTATATCTCGGCCTACCTGCCGGACATTCCCTACCATGGTCCTGCCGTACTAGGATAATGTCGGTGGGGCCCCGGGGCCCCAGCCCATTAGGTTTGCTACGAACAACCGCCATGTTCGAGACATGTGACGAAACTCGTAACATGTACGAAACTCGGGTCGAATCGTTCACGAAATAACAGTTATTGTCAAGAGTAATCGTTGAAATATTCTAAGGGTTTGCTGCAAACAACCGCCATGTTCGAGACATGTGACGAAACTCATAACATGTACAAAACTCGAGTCGAATCATTAACGAATTAACAGTTATTGTCAAGAGTAATCGTTGAAATATTCTATGGGAAATGTAGCTTGCTACAATGTGTGTGTGTACATGTATGTGTGAGACTGTGTGTGTGTGTGACTGCGTGCGTGTATGTGTGTGGTACTGTGTGTGTGAGACTGTGTGTGTGTGTATGTGTGTGAGACTCTGTGTGTGTGTATGTATGTGTGTGTCTCTCTCTCTGTGTGCTTGTATGCGTGTATGTGTGTGTCTCTGTGTGTGTGTGTGTGTGTGTCTCTCTCTCTGTGTGTGTGTGTGTGTGTCTATGTGTGAGTGTGTCTCTCTCTGTGTGTGTGTGTGTGTCTCTCTCTCTCTGTCTGTGTGTCTGTGTGTGTGCATGTTTTCATGTTACCCCAACTCCACCATGTGCCCCAACAGTGCTGTGATTGTGTGGTTGTCTGTGTGTTTTTGTTACCCCAACATCACCTGCTTGTGTCTGCCTGTCTGTCTGTCTGTTTGTATACAACTACCCATCTGTCTGTTTGTCTGTCTATCTCGATAGATTAGGTACGTAGGCATGGATAGCTAGATGAAGATAGATGAAGAGTCTGACTTAAGTCTGAAGCTTCATGACTAAAAAATGCTCCCACGGGTATCTTTTACATTTTCCAAAGCTCACAGCCCAGTGCAGAGAGACTGTATGTGCAGTACTTGATCAAGTACAGGACGTACAGTCTCTCTGCACTGGGCTGAGAGCTTTGGGAAAACTTAAGCTCGGAAACCGGGGGATAAAAAGGCTTTTGTTTGTGTAGCTACGCCAGCCATGTAGGTTTGCTGGTTTTCCAAGATCCCCCATGCAAAAGATCTAGACAGAGAACCCGCTGCCCTTTATATGCTGTTTGGTAACTTTGAGGAGCAGTGCCAGCACTCCACGTCCTCCCTGGTGTGGCAGGCCTTAGGGGGCAAAGGGAGGGGGGGACATGAAAAGTGAGTTG